TAGCATGGATAGATTTATTATCTTTGAGGAGCACTGAACAACTGGCTTTATCTTGCCACCACTGGCTTTTGATTTTCTAGATCCTCCTCTGAGTGGGGGAGGGCTTGAATCTTGATGTTTCTCTCATCAAACCTGTCTTGGTGTCAGCATGGACCTTGTGGATAGCAGTTCTAAATCCTTTTACAGAGCTCCTCAATGTTGCCTTCAGTTTTGGGAAGGGCAGAGAGCTTTTCATGAAGACACTATTGGATATCCTTACAGACTTTGAAGAGATCAGGTATTGAAGAGATTTGATGTTGAAAAACCTTTGCATTGCAGTTAGCAGTTTTCAGTCTTTTATAACAAGCCAGATGTTCATGATGGACTTGACAAGATGATGAATAGAGGAAGGGGGGCGCTGGGGTGATGGCACAGGGCAATGCTTGGTGTGGAGACACGCGGGGCCATTAGCTCCAGTTGTGCAGACTGGAGGCAGGTATCCCTTTGTTAGCATCATTATACTTTGTTATGCTGTGTGGCCAGCAGCTACTCTATTAACCTTCTCCAAACTGCTGATGAATTAAGATTTACAGGCATGTTCCACATACAGATCGGCGCAGCGGTGAGAGGGTTAACCATGTTGCTGTAGCAGTGGTGGTGTTTCCCACAGGGGATGGGTGTGAGGCTGAGGTGGAGACTCTACACCTGCTCCCTGCACTGAGAGCTTTCAGCCTGAGTGAGCCTGGGCCATGGCAGGTAAGACTACCTATACTCCCCACCCCCTTTCTCCTGTGCTCAGCTTGCCTGCACCCATGCTGTGCATGCGTCTTCATGTAAGCCTGGGACCACAACATGTCCAGCTGCAGCAGAGGAGCCCTGGCTGGCAGGGATCCTGGGAGTTCAGCATGCCAACCCAGGCTGCTTCCCTTGGTTCAATGTGGTGCAGAGGAGCTAGGTGGGGCATGAGGATGCTTCAGTGAGGGACTAGCTGGCAGGCAGCCCATGCACTGAAGCACCCTTGTGCCCCAGCCTGCTGAGGCAGCATCTACACATGTGCTGCTGCTCAGCTTTTAACTCTGCAGCAGGATAGTACTTGTATTTACACATACTATCCTGCTGTGGAGTAAATTAGTTTACTCCAGCCTAACAGAAGTACACATGTAGATGCTGAAATGTTTATTGTGTGGCTAACTAGTCAACTGCACAGTAAATGTCTTGTGTCGACATGCCCGGTAGGTTGGTTTCAGTAAAGACTGTGCATTTTGTTTTTATAACTAACTCCAGCAGAACCAGGATTTGGTTGTGTGAAAATCCATAATGGCAACCAGTCTTCATTATTTATTTAAGATATTTATTAAGACATACATTGACAGCATATGGATGTTGCAGAAATAAGTGAAAATGAAGGTGAGTCTGTTAGATATGTTTTCAAAGTGATGTACTTTTTAGACTATACTCTCTAATCTATCACTGCACTTGTATAGCAAATTGTGGTTGGCTATCCCCAGGTGCACATGCAGTGGGTAGTGTAGGGAGCAGTTTTCCTTCAGTCAAGCCACAATTCCTTTACATGCCTGCTCAGATACCAGACACAATGTAGGAGGGACTTGGGGTACTGGTCCAAAAACATGGCTTCTACCCCTCTCTGCAATGGCCTGCAGAACTGGTTAACTGTGTGCATGCAGGTAAATGCATATGAGCACGCATTGATCTAAAGTTAGTGTGCCCAAGCATGTTTTGGTGGTCAAATGGTCTCTGATCCTCTGTTATCTATGGGAGAGACAAGGTCGTTAGCTTGGGGGATTTTAGCTTCAATGAGGAGCAGGCGCTTTTCTTTTTAAGGAAGATACAAGTACAAGCCAGCAGCATTTCTTATCCTTAAATGGATGCATGTTTTTATCTTCCAACATTTACATAAAATTAATGTATATCATGGTTGAGTCCTCTTCCTGGAGACCTGCCAGTGAGGCCTTCAGTGTCACAATATTTGGACACTACGGCCTGAAATGTTCTAAGGCTTGTGTGAGATGTTCACAAAGTGACACCCATTCACATTGGTGGGTAAAACCACACATGCCACTTGAAAAATGTGGGACCCAACCCTGAGGCTACTTCCTCAGTCCTGTAAGGGTCTAAGACAGCAGAAGCAACAGGTTTTCATTTTGTGCATTGCCAAAATCTACGGAGAAGCTCTGGAGAGTCTATACCCCCTGCCTGCAGTGAAAAAAATGTTCATTGTGGGATGTTTGCATGAGGCTGAAGTAAGTGTTTGGTCCACACTTGATGGTACCTACTGAGAATCACTGGCTACTTGAAGATGTGAAACAAATCCCCCCAAATCCACACTTTCCTGGAAGCAGCACATTACTTTGATCCAGCTCTGCACCGTCTGTACAGATCGGGAGCTTCAGCAAGGCTTTTTGGTGCTTTAATCTAATAGCTTCAATCAGCTATTAGATAAAAGTACCAATAAAACCCCCACTAAAATGCCCAATTTATACAGAAATTGGGTGAGCTGGGTCCAACTAACATGTTGCCTCTTTTGGGCATGCACTGTGCTCAGCATGGGAGCACACAGAGTTTAAAGTAAAGCACTGTTTTTTGTTTTTAATGTCTGCAAACTGCCATTGTGATCAAACCAACATGTAAGGAAAGGCATCCCTTGGACTTGGCAATAATATCATTAGCACATGCAGGTGATGTGACTTAGTAGTATCAGCCACAAGTCAGGTGCCTGGGATCCCTAGCACTAAGTAATAATAATATAATATCACGATCCACCGTTTGATTGGAAAATCCATTTTCCCAGACTTTCCATATTTAAGGGTTTTGCCTGCAATCTCAGGCTTGACCTCTTGAGAGAACACCGTTTACTTTATTGAGAAGACAGATTCATATTTCTTACAGCTACAAATGAGTCAGTAGTGAAAATGATGTAATGTATTACCAGTTTATCTCGTTTCCTGCCATAATTGGAGAAATAAATCATTCCACATAGAGATGAAGAGAGAGAGAGAGTGGTGGGGTGAAGAAAGAATAAAAGAAAGAAGTATTTATTTAGGTCACAATAAGAACACTATCCACAGTACATTATAAGAGGGTGGTTACAAAAAAAATAGACTGCAAAGAAAAAGCAGAGCACAGTTTATAGACAGCTGTGGAAACTGGCAAGTTTTTTTTCCCCTTCTTTTAGTAAAGCTGTACAAAGGAAGCTTTTAATACTAGTTCTGCACAAGGTAAAAGACTGATTCCCCCCCCCCCC